GCCTTGATTACTTCGACACATATTCTCCCGTGACGAGAATAAACTCCATTAGAATGATACTTGCTATAGCCGCGCTGCGGAATTTGGAAGTTCATCAAATGGACGTTAAAACCGCTTTCCTAAATGGCGAACTAGATGAGGAAATCTATATGGAACAACCCGAAAGGTTCATGGTTCCGGGCCAAGAAAGGAAAGTGTGTAAATTGGTTAAATCGCTATATGGTTTAAAACAAGCGCCTAAGCAATGGCACGAGAAGTTTGACCATGCGATGTTGACTAATGGATTTAAAATAAACGAAAGTGACAAATGTGTCTACGTTAAAGAAACGATAGACGGTTATGTCATTCTTTGTTTATACGTAGATGACATGCTCATCGTTGGTAGTAACGATCGGATGATCAAGTCTACCAAAAACATGTTAAATACGAGATTTGACATGAAGGATATGGGTTTGGCTGATTTAATCCTCGGGATTAGAATCATTAGAAGACTTGATGGTCTGGTGTTAAGCCAATCACATTATATTGATAAAATCCTTGGAAAATTTAACAAGGATAATCATCAAGGGACTAGGACGCCATTAGATCGAAGCGTTCATCTAACCAAGAACCACGGAGAGTGTATTTCTCAAGTAGAATATGCTCGGGTTATTGGTAGTTTGATGTATCTAATGAGCTGTACTAGGCCGGATATCGCCTTTGCGGTTAGTAAACTCAGTAGATATACGAGTAACCCCGGTGCCATGCACTGGACGGCAATAGTGAAGGTTCTGAGATACTTAAGGTATACTCGAGACCTTGGACTGCACTATGGGAGATATCCTGCTGTACTTGACGAGTACAGAATCATATGTATAATGGTAAGTCTAGACATGTGCGTCGTAGACATAATACCATTAGACAACTTCTCACAACTGGTGTTGTCTCGATTGACTACGTAAAGTCAGAAGACAATATAGCGGATCCGCTAACCAAAGGGTTATGTAGAGTAGCTGTGGAGAAGTTGAGACGAGGAATGGGTCTAAAGCCCTTGGTATAAAGTTCTATAGTGGACACCCAACCTAGCTGGCACCTAGGTTCAATGGGACAACTAAATTATGGAACGGAGCGTGTCACTGTGGGGGTCTCGGATTCCCTACCACTCCTCGTTAGAAACAGTGGCTCCCGCACAAGGTTAGCATGTTAAATGCTTTAGTGATTCGAATGTCGGTTGACATATGTGAGTATGCGGGATACTCGGGAAAGAATCACCTATGTGAGAGAGAAGTGAGGGTCGCTTCAAAGGAGAATTGACGGGCACAATTCTTCACAAACTCTTGCAGAACCAGGAATGGTGACCCACGACCAAAATGGGCACAATCATGAGAACAAAGCATGGTTGGGAGGTTCTTGTGTGAGATATGTCATCGTCTACACAAACGGCAGTCGGTTCAAAGACATCGCGTTCTACCGTACAGTCAGTAGAGTAAATGTATCTTCACGAGGGAAGGTTCAAAGGGTGTGACCCTACCTATCCTATGCAGGGATCGACCGTTGAACACAGTTGTTTCCGTTTTAAAACTACCCCCGAAAATCAATTTTCATTCATGTGGGGGATTGTTGGAAAAATTAGCTTAAAATGGCATATTAAGTGGCTATTTTGTGGTACAATTATCAGTGGGGTCCACTTCCGATTCGGGTCGGGTCAAAGTGGATTCGGATTCTTCGTAGTAAGACGAAGAGATTGATATATTGTACGCTCAAAACGGATAATGGGTGAATGAGATATTGATTCTCAAAGTAGACCCATTTAAGTTGGGAAATGAAGGGAAAATGTAGGACTTTGTCCCACATTGGTTTGGAAACAAGATTTGCCCCCCTTATATACATGAGCTCTTTTCAAGCTTGTAGAATTGTATAGCATAGAGGCTCTCTCGCGCGGGGGGGGGGGGGGTGCAAATCAAAATCCAACTAGAGGACATCAAAAAGGCTTAAAATCAAGCCCGAGCTCGCGTGCGCCGGCACCTGCGGGCACGAATGTCGTCCGGAAATGGGCTGGCCTTGCGGGCTAAGTTCAGCCTGTTGTACAGATTAAACTCATTTGTTACGGAATTAATACTGTTTTAATTCCAATTTTAAATTCTGAGTTTAATCCTACTTAGTGGGTGACCGTTACAGGTGTTATACAATTGGTTTAATACCAATTAAAGGCCATGTTGAATGCTATCCCTTCCAACATCCCTATATAAAGAGAGGTAGAGCAGTAGCCTTTTATACAGTACACGAAACTAGGGAATTCCAGTAGCTTTCAGCTTCAAAACTTCTGCTTCTACTCTCTTCTTTTGCCAACAGTGTTCATACTGTGCTTTGTTTGCCGAGTTCCTTGTTTAGGTGCTTAAACAAGGAATCGTAGCACGTTTTATCCTGGGAAACCTAGGCTACAACGCTCCTAGCACTTGTGGGAGGTAGCAAATAAGGTTTTAAGGAAAAGAACCTTGTGTTCGAACTCGTGCTAAACCTATACCCCAAACACTCAACCTTTTCCTTCCCAGTTTCTGTTTTCCCATATAATATTAATCTTTCCGTAGGATTATTATTATTTTGGGATTTTACAACCATATTACCCAACAGGAAATTGACAGTTATAGGCATTTTGACTTTGTCTTGGACAAAAATAGGACGCTGAAAAATTATGGACAGTCAAGGGAAAACCGAGTTTGGGAAATGCGATTGGGCTGAGAAACACATTTCCCAAACTCGGTCGTAATATTTTTTTTTCTCGGGACCGTCAACATCATACGCATTTGGGAATTGCGTGTATAAAATACACCAAACACATTTCCTAAATGCGGCTGTCGTATTTTGCTACAAGGCGTAATCCGCATGTGGAAGATGCGTTTCTTGTATAATACGAGAAACACATCTCCCACATGCAGATCTCCTCGCCGGAGTCCGGCGAGCACTGGCGAGTTGATAGGCGTTTCTATTGCGCCGGCGATTTGATAGCGTATCATTCCACAGTGGCTCAACCTACACACATTCACAAAATAAGTGTTTCATGGTTTCAGGGATTGCTTTGCACAACGGACATAAAATCTCAACCTCCACCCTTCTGTTCACCAAAGTTGCCATAGTAGGAAGAACGTTGTGCGCACATCTCCATAAGAAGTTCTTTATATTAGGTGGAAATCTTCAATTTCCAGATTATTTTTTTGTTTTTAGTTCCCCAAAACTAGAATTTTATTCATTTGAAATGCAAAGCAAAAGCTCACCTGGTCACCATTTAGAGTGTCAAAAAAGTCAGAACAATAAATGCTATGACAGCCCTTGAGGAGACCATCTGCATAAAGTAAAAAAAAAAAAAAAAAAACTGATGAAAGGTCAATTTCTTGAGCTCCGTGCCAACTCCGGGAATGACCCATCCACAGCCACCGGAACTCCCCCATGCGAACCACCACTCCACCAGTCGTTCGCAACCCAGAGACGAGACGACAACTTCACCGGCGACCACCGCTTGGGTTATATAAGGGGTTGTCGAACTGGGTTTTGATCGGTGGAAACCGCAGCATTGAACCCGCCAAAGCCTCTGCCATCCTCACTTTCTTTGTCAATCTATCCTACTCGCCGATGGCGCAACATAAACGCCTATCAACTCGCCGGACTCCGGCGAGGAGATCCGCTTGTGGGAGAAACGCATCTCCCATATGCGGATTATGCCTTGTAGCAAAATACGAAAGCCGCATTTGGAAAATGCGTTTGGTGTATTTTATACATCAGACGCAATTCCCAAATGCGTCTAATGTTGATGGTCACGAGAAAAAAAAATATTACGATCGAGTTTGGGAAATGTGTTTCTCATCCCAACCGCATTTCCCAAACTCGATTTTCCTTTGACTGTCTATAATTTTTCAGCGTCCTATTTTTGTCCAAGACAATGCCAAAATGGCTATAACAATCGATTTCCTCTTAATACATGATAATGACATGAAATAATCTGTTTAAAATATAGAGAGATAGTCCTTTGAATTAATGTATATAAATTTGTCAATAAGAAACCCAAAACCTTCACTTTTTTTTTGAAAAGCAAAACCTTCACTTTATACTCAACAAAGTGTAACAAACTTCCCATAACTCAGCTGACTAGAAATCCACAATTAATGAACACCATCCATTTGAAATTCAAGCTTAAAACCAATTCGACTGAACTTAATTCTGTTAGAGAATAATGTTGAGATGTGCTGACACTGATTTCAAACGAATACTGAGAGAAAACCTGAAACAGCATCACTGAAAGAGATCCAGATAGGGGTACGGTCCAAAAAATTATAACAAGATTATAACCTAAGTTTTGTCAAATAATTTAACCAATTAAATTAGTTAGACAAATAAGCTGTGAATTTTGACCAATTCTGACTCTGTTCCAGAAGGCTGCTGAGAATAATTATACTGTGAATTCTGACCAATGTTGACTCTGTTCTAGAAGGCTGCTACTATGAAAATAATAATTAAATTCTCTAAGTTTTTTTAAATAATATAGCCAACATAAATAGGGTATAAATGTGTATCATTTGTACACTTACACTCCCCTACGGCTATGCCACAGATGTTATTCTTTAACAAATTGGCAATTTTCTAGGAAAATTCGTGAAACTGGATGTAAACAAATTTCAGGGTTCTGGGAGAAGTTTTTACCGTTTGTCGGGTTGAATTGGATGTATCTAAACCATTACAGAAGACTATGAAGCTTACCAAAAGAGATGGCAAATGGGTGTGGATAAACTTCAAGTTTGAAAGGCTACATACTTTTTGTTACTTCTATGGCATTCTTGGACACACCGATCATATCGCTACTACGAGAAGGCCTTACTTTCTAACGTTCCTCCCCCGGAATATAATTTTGACTCTGAACTACGAGCCAATCCGAAAAGGCAGTCGAAAGGGATTAGTTCTCAATGGCTTATCCCATATGATGGTAGTAATGAAAAGACAATAAACACTACGGAGGTTACGAATGAGCATACTGTACTGGAACCTAACCTGGACTCTATGGCCTAGCTCTAAAAAAGCAAAAGGGTAGTCGATGTTAGTTCCACTCTCGAATCAAATCAATACGATGAAGTTGTGGAGGATGTACCAAAAAACTTGCAGAAGGCGAGTTTTGGATCCCAGATTCGGCCGAACCAATGAGTACTATCTATTGAAACTGTCGTGAGTTGGGCAACCATGCACAGTTTGAAAAATCAAGGACCTTGCTGCCCGAAAACTTAACAATCAAAATTCGTATGTTTGATAGAAACTAAGGTTGCCCAACACCATGCTGAGAAATTACGAGTGGTCATGGGATTTGATGGCTTATTCAATTCCATATCGATAGTAGGGACAATAGTGGTGGATTAGTGATAGACATATTTTACACTCTTATTTTATGTACATCTTTATAATATTTCTACATTAGTTATTTATAATTATATAATAATTATTTGTTTTTAGAGTTTAAGAGTTAATTAGTCAAAATAAATGTTTTGTATTAATTTTTGGGCTTAGTTTTGAGTTTATTTTTATATATGTTATTTAAGGGCCCATTTCCCATTTATTTAATGAATTCAAAGCCCAAATCTAATCACTTTACTAACAAAAAAGATTTTTGTTGTTTTGTTCCTCTGCACAGCTCACGTACGGACAAAGCACCTTCGTCAAACTTCAGTGGAAATTTCTACGGAGAGGCGTACGGCAACATCGGATGACGTATTCCTACGGCTAAAAAATAGGAAATGTATGGCGTAAAATGGCTTTAGTCTACTTCGAGGAGCGTATAAATAGTAGATGATTTTTTTTGTTGAGTCGTTCATTCTTTCCCCCTTAGATTATTCTTTAAAGTTGTTTTAATGTCCATTTGTGGCTAATTTCTTCTAGCTCGGTTTAGTAAATTGAAGCCCTGGAGTTCATTATGCGGTGAGATTATTTATTTATTTTTATTATATAATTTTTATGTATTTTAGTATTAAATATTCTTCTAAGTTATTTGAATAGTTGTATCATTTAATCGGTAGGGAGTCCTACTAGTTATTTGTTTGATATAATTATTTTCTATATTAGATAATGTTGTGCTACAAATTATTCTAATATTCAGTAGCAACTGAGGTTAAATATTGACGGCTTTAGTGATAATTGGTCTCAGGTAGAATATTTTTCTAAATTAAATGCAACTGCCTGTGCTTGTGTTATTTAGTTTGTCGGTTTTCCTAGTTCCTATTGCTGCTATTAAATTAAATCTATAGCGCTTGTCTTAGATTATTTAGTAGTTAGGGGTAATTAAACCGCGTGTGCTTTAGTTATCTACAACTAAGGGAAAACGGAAATGAAATAATTTCACGACAAATATTCAATTGCATATTAATTACCTTTTGAATCAATGGTCAGTGCTAAATTCCGGTGGTAGATCTTTACTAACCAAGGTTTTCTATTATAAGTGCTTTCAATATATTCTTTTTATTGCTTTATTCGTTTATTTACTTTGATTATCACTTTCATACTAAACCCCTTTTCCTTTAATTTGAGCACATACATTAAACTAGTTACTCCTCGTGGGATCGATCCTTACTCCCGCTACTACGTTTGTAAGGTTTTAATTTGGGAGTCTACGACAGCTCGCCAATTAGCCCTATTTTGGAAGGAAAGAGGTTGTACTAGCCTCCTTAGCTATTCACACAACCACATTGATGTGGTAGTACGTCTACCTGGATCAAATCCTTGGCGATTACCATGCTTTTATGGTTTCCCTAAAAGAAGTCAAAGGAAAGACGCTTGGGACTTCCTTGGGTTGGGCTTTTAGGTAAATCTATTTGTCGTGGCTAGTCGCAGGGGACTTCAACGATTTAGCAACTCACTCAAAGAAAAGAGGAGAAAATCCTCATCTGGATTATCTAATTCGTAGGTTCAATACTGCACTGCAAGACTGTAATCTTACGGACGTAGGTATGCTTGGATATCCATATACATGGGAGAGAGATCGCGGCACGAGAGCTTTCGTAGAAGAAAGATTGGATAGAGTCGTATCATCGGATCAATGGCGATTAATGCATGTTATGGTAGAGGTTCATAATATTCCAATGTTCTAGTCAGACCATTCAACACTATATATTAACTTGTCAACCGACCAGAATTCTTGGGCAAAACCTGGGAAGCGATTTTGTTTCGAAAATGCATGGATAGGAGAAGGCAACGAAGTCGTAGCTAGTGCATGGAAAGCAAGTCCGAATGATAACCTCCCAGGAAAGTTTGCAGACTGTAGTAACGCCCTATCAAAGTGGGGTGGAGAGATTTCCAACCATTTTGGACGGAAAATCAAAGCCCTTAAATTTTCTTTCGATTTACTACGTCCAAAAAATGATGCTAACAGTATGGAACAATTTATCAATATACAAGGAGAGCTTCAAAGACTCTTGGAGCAAGAAGAATCCTATTGGAAACGAGCAAAGATACACTGGCTACAAGGTGGTGATTTAAACACTAATTAAGTACTTCCACTCTTTCGCATCAGCTAGACACAAGAAAAAATGGATACGCAGACTTAAAGGAACGGATAACAACTGAGCTTACGGTGAAAACCTTTCGTCAGTGGTACAAGATTACTTCCAGAACCACTTCGGTAGGTCTCCTATCAACAGGGCCAAAACCTTTTATCCCCATTTACAAAGGAGGAAGTACAATCAGCCCTATTCTCCATGCATCCGGACAAATCACCAGAGCCAAACAGGATGAACCAGATTTCAATCAACATTATTGGAGCCTCGTTAGACCGAATGTTACCAAATATATTCTATAGTGTCTTAACACTCTTTCTTTCACCCCAGGATTAAATGATGGAAACTTTAGTCTATATTACATTGATACTGAAGAAAAATATCATCGACACAGTGGCGGATCTCCGTCCTGTAGCTCTTTGCAATGTCATCTACAAGGTAATGACAAAAATGATTGCAAACATAATGAAAGCCATCATTGGCGAGGGAGTCTTAGAAAATAGAAGTGCTTTTATCCTAGTAGTTGCTGAAGCTGGTCACTTCCTAAAACGTAAAACACAAGGTCGCACATGTTGGTCACTTCCTATTGCTAGTGTCTAATTTCTTGTGATTGCGTATTGCGTGCCATATCCCCCAATCCCCTGAGGACGACATACCACACCCGAGCTCACATCTTATTTTTGCTACAATTAAAACCACCATAAGATCGCCTATACAACCGACCGTCCACCACTTGGAACTTGGGCGCCCTGAGTTTAGCCTTCCGAGACCCCGTGGATTTCAAATTGTGATATTCTTGGTATATTTCGGTGGGATTTTGCATGTTCGGGTATTGAGTCTTGTTTATATTTAGAATTCATGTTAGGATGTATTTATAGTGATTCTTGGTTTTAACCCATTACTTGATTACGTGGTGTTTTCGTTTGTGTTTAAATGTGTCTGGACATGGTTTCGGGTTCCTCGAAAGATCCCGGGACCAAATTATTACGAAAGAGTCAGTGGGGGTAGGTTGGGGCAGGGAAACCCGCCACCTACTCGCTGCCCCAAATAGGACCGCCAGCAGCGGGCAGGCGACTGCCCGCCGGGCACCTGCTGCCCATTATAGCGCCGCCGGCGGGCAGCCGGCGGGTGGTCCTACACCCGCCGCCCACCCGCTGGTTTTCCCAGTGAAGACTTGGTGGTTTTTCCCGTTTGATGTTTCCCCATGTCCCGTGGTGTCCCATTGGACCCCGTTTGTCGTGCCTGAGTCTAGTTTGATGTTTCGGGTACCGTTCGTAGGATAAAAGAGTCTTAGGTATTGCATGTTAGTTGAATTGGTATCCCGTTGGCCTAGGTGAAAAATGTATGAACCCCTTAGGCATATTCCTAGTAATGTGGTTGACCACGCATAAGTTTTGTTTATATGTTTCCCCCTCCCTATGTGCTAATGTGGGTTGCATGCGCTTGCTATGTGTTATGTGTGCATGATACCCCAATTGGTTGCGATCAATTGGCTATACGGGCAGTTGGATAGGTTGAGAACCATCGGATGTTAACAAGGCCGGTTGCGATCGGTCAGGTATATAAATACATATAGGGCTGCGGTCCACCGTTTGGTTGTGATCAAACGTTATAAATGAACTGCGGTTCATAATCTAATTGCGATCAGAAATACACACTATTCAGGTTGCGGTCCACCGTTTGGTTGCGATCAAACGTTATAAATGAGTTGCGGTTCATCGGTTGGTTGCGATCAACCCCTTCGTGCTGCGGTACGAGGCAGGGTGCTTCGGGGCCGTGTTAGCGCTATATGCGCTGACCCTCATGTATGGGCATGCGATTGGTCCTGCGGCACCACCAAAGTGTGCTTATGTGTTGAAATAATGATTGAATACTGATATGTTTGATGAGGAATGACCTTGTGACCTTAGGGTGTATGCTAGTATCTTTATATGCGTAATCATGACTAATGAATGTGCATATCCTTACTTGTTGAGTCTATTCTCGGTTTTAAATTAGAGTCTCCTAAGTATAAATTAGAGTCTCCTAAGTATATTCTCGGTTTTATATATACGGTCGACCGCCCACCTCGTGCCCACTGGTACGGCCTGATGATTTCTTGACTTCTCGTTTTATTGATCTATTGCACACTTGTGTGCCTCGATTGATGAATGCAAGTCTTGGGTAAGAAATCATGGGTTTCCTAAAAGTGGTGACCTTGGTAAAAGACCTTGACCCGCGAGACGCCTTCAAAAAGACACAACCAATTGCATTACACATGGAAGTTGTAGTTGGACTCTACGATGCAACCGACTAGAGATGGTTGACGAGAAGAACTGTACAAACCAAGGAGTCGAGTTGGGAGCTCGTGCTAAGGACTTCCAAATGCCTTAAAGTCAAGCGCTAAGAATGGACCAGGCTTCCTTCAACCATGGACATCGTTCGAGTAATCAGAGGGCTCCTTACAAGTTGAGAAAAATCAAGAGTGCCGTTGTTCGTGGTGCTAAGGAATGAGTAAAGAGCACATTGGTGCCAAGGCCTCGAGGGTTTTCAAGGACCAAACAAGGAAATAAGAGAACTCATAAAATCACCAAGTCATTCCACAACGAGATTAGGTAACCAACTGCACTTCAAAAAGAAGAGGAGCATGCAAAGGCGCCTTCACCATTTAAAGTAACACAAAAGGTGCAGTAAGCCGAACTCCATGGAGGACATGCAGCCTTGCTAAGAAGAGATGAAATTAAATAATGAGAGAAATTCAACCCGAAGTTTATTGACTTCCCAGAGACTTTGGGAAGAATTTGGAAGTGCGCCCTAGAAGATTGGCTTTGTTGACCAAACTTGGTCAAGGCCTTGGGTGCATTAGAGAAGTAAGTGTTGAATCATCGCGGGAGATTCCCTCAAGATAGAAAAGAAGGATAAGGCTTTAGCTTGGGAAGCAAGGACTGACAAGGATCTTAAGGTCAAGCGGTGCCAACACCAAAGAAAAAGGATCATCAGTTCGTCGATACATCGTGAACAAAACATCGAACCAAGAATAGTCACTTGAGATCGAGAACCCTTAACCCATCCTAGCCGAATTCCTTTCCTTCCCTTTGACAATCGAACCCCGTCTCATTGCAAAACCCTTTCTACCCTTCAAACCTCGTTCTTGATTTCCCATTTTAACAACTCCATACAAGGTGGCAACCTCACTTCCTAAGTTGCAACTTTGAAAACTTTGATCCTAATTCCTAAATTCACTTTGTCCACAAGTTTGAAACCCGAACCATCCACTCTCTTTATCCTTTTAACCCAATCGTTCCCAAAAAAAACCCAGTATACATGGATACGTAATTATATATTTTCCCCGTAGAATACTTTCTCTATATAACCACCGTACTAGTTTTGACTCGTTATCCCCGTGAAGATTTCTAAGCTTCGGGGACGAAGCTTCTTGTAAGGGGGGGGGGGGGTGTAACACCCCGTGTTACGGCCTTCAATCCCGAATTAATTATTTAATTAATTCCGTTAATAATAATTAAAAAGGATTTAATTTGGTTAGGGTTCCCTTTAATTAATGTGGCCCACCATGGATTGTGGACCCTTGCTTAAGCTAGAGTCTTAAGCCTATTAGGAATAAAGAGAGTAAACCTTTTACTAGTCAGATTCTAATTAGGAATGGCATTTATTATTCAGATTATGATTAGGATTCCTGATTTTATAAATATGGGATTAGAAAGCAATTAGAACCCTTACCACTCATAGTTATATTACACGAAAATATTCCCGGGAAATTCCCCACCACCAAGCCTAGGGAGATCAAACGGATGGAAATCTTAGAGAAGAACCTTAATAGCCAAGGGAGGATTAATTAAGGCTAAGAGGTAACCCATGTCTCAACAAAACCTATTTTCCTTTCTATAATCTTCTTCATTGGCTCCTTTGATATGCAATTCTATGCTTGTGTCTTGATAAGGTTTTTATGATGATTATGATATAATCTTGATATTTATGAGAAGATCCTATGTGTTGATCTTGATAATCTTGATGATTATGAGAGGATCTTGATAATTGTGTGTTGATCTTGATAATCTTGATTTTAAAGATAAAGTTATGATCTTGTGCTTTAAATATGATTAGAGCCCTAGGTTAAATCGTGGATTTCGTATTTGTGATATTCTTGGTATATTTCGGTGGGATTTTGCATGTTCGGGTATTGAGTCTTATTTATGTTTAGAAGTCATATTCGGATGTATTTAATGTGATTCTTGGTTTTAACCCATTACTTAATTACGTGGTGTTGTCGTTTGTGTTTAAATGTGTCTGGACATGGTTTCGGATTCCTCGAAAGATCCCGGGACCAAATTATTATGAAAGAGTCAGTGGGGGTAGGTGGGGGCAGGGGAACCCGCCACCTACCCGCTGCCCCAAATAGGGCCGCCGGCAGGCAGTCACCTGCCCGCCGGGCACC